TCCCTGCGAAGAGATTTCCTAGCCTTTCTCTGAGGGAGATCTAAGTATCTAACCGTTCTTTCGGAAAGGATAAATCACATGGATACCAAAGGTCAAAGATTATCACCGCTAGGCTGGAAGATCTGTAAGTTCTAGCTCAGATCTGTTATTATTGCTATATTCGTTGTTTTGTCATAATCAGGGAGGATCTATTTGGGAAAATTTTAAACTTCCGTTGCTGTACTTTCGAGGTACGTTACATCAATTTCCTAACAGCAACAACAAGAACGAAATTATGAAAATATTTCTAAGTACAAAATGCTAGAGCCTTCGGGAACCACCTCTGACGCCCTCGTAAGCCCGATCTATCATTGGATACTTCACGTCACTTTCCCCAAACAGGTGGTAGCGCCGGAAGCCCAGACTATACAAGTCGTCCGAGAGGGTGGCATCTTTAATCGTCACCAAGTCCTCGGACCCCTCCGGCTTGGCTGATATATTCTTTGCCGACTTCTAAAGAGCGGGATTCCCCACTTTTAAATGTCGCTGGAAATTATTTGGAAGGAGCGCAGGAAATGGATTATCCGCCATGCGGATGTAGCAGAAGCATTCCCTCCATCCTTTATGGGACGAAGGAACCTTTGAGAACAGCCTCCATTCCAGGACCTGTTGGAGATTGGCGAAACCCTCGCTATTTACATCGCCACCCGGACACAAGTTGAAGTAGTGGAAGAAGAGGTCCAGGGAAGGCTCCACATCTCTGGAGCGACATAAGGACAGGAAGCCGGCGATATAGGAGTAGCTATTGGGAGTCAACTAGCAGGGGGCTAGCTTTACGAAGTTCAAGTACTCCACCACGAACGGATGGAGGGGGAACCGAAGGCCTATTTCCACCAAGAGGACATGCACGGTGAAGCCGCCTTCGGGGGGCGAGACAACAGGTCATTGGGTCCCGGTTCTACCATAGTCGTTGAGGGCCCAGCATATAGTTGAGTAGCGTGGTAGTCGGCCACTTATGCTTTCGTCTTTACATCGAGGGCCGCGGTATTCAGAAACGAATACCCCTCGGAAATACCGACGGGCTTCCCGGCATCTGCATCCACTTGCTTCTTCTTGGAAGCTGCTTTCACCTTCTTCTTCTTCTTCTTTGACGGAACAGTTCTGAGGGGTTCTGGACTGAGGGCTCGTGAAGTCCCCTCTCCACTGGCGATAGCCGAAGGGATAGCGATGGTCACCTTTCGTCTCTCTTTCTCCTCCTCCTCCTCCTCCGTGGTTTGGACGGCGAGGGCCAACTCCTCATCCTCGACGACTTGCTCGAGCCTCGGCTCTAAGATTGTTCTGGACCTCCACCACAACTGCATAATCGTTGTTAGACAAAGCCTCCTCACTCATCGACTTCTCATCCGACCACGTTTCGGACTCAGCCAAAGGATCTCTGGAGATATCTTGCGAGTCGCTAGCAGACGACATCCTTCGCAACTATTGAAGAAGGGAGTTGGAGGAAGAAAGAAGGGTTCTAAGGGGCTAACATTAGATTTAGAGGAGGAGAAACAAGGTATGCAAGAAATACCAAGAACGGAGGAAGAACTGACCTCGAGAATTAAGGTTGATCGAACAAAGGGCTTTCTCTCTCTAGAAAATTTGGCAGAGCTTCGTTTCAACTAAAAATCGCACAAGTGAAATGGGTTCAGGCCAGGGGTATTTATAGCCTCCCCAAACCACGATCCGGGCCTGAATCTGGGCCTCGGTTCGAAAGCCCACCATCACGGACCATCGCATCAACCAACCGGCGACGCCCGCCCAGATCAAGCCAACTATCCCTCTCCACGTGGCCGGCTTCTCCAACGGTCATATTTCAACAGCTATTTCTGAAACACTGAGGTGGCCTCTGCTGACACCCTTCAAACGACAAGAAAGCAAGCCCTCGGGTTATCACATTCAAACAACTTCATCCAAAGTTAGCCCTCAGCACGAAGGTGTGGGGGACTGGGGGAACCCCTCGGGAAATACGCTAGTTTTCAAGGAATTCTCGCAGAAGCAAAGTAACGCCGACTTCACCAAAATTGCAAAGGCGACTCACTTGCATTTGCCCTCAGGAAGCCCTCAGCCCTCCAATGTATGGGGGACTGGGGGACTCTCCTCGACAAGCACCGGAATAATCACTTGTATTCATCAACTACAGTCATATTCCGACAACCACTTCCAACGATCACACCCTCAGATTGCGAACGGCTCTCGGCATCAACGCGATCCGATATCTCACGCCGAAGGGTTCATCCCTCTTGCTTCAATTTCCATGTTACAATTCAGATTCTAATCGTGGAAAACTAAACCGAAACGTATTGCTAGTTGTGGAATCGGTGTTGGGTAGTTTCAACTCCGGTTCTCCGAAATTTGAAACATGGAACTAACGGTTTGATTCCGGTTCTGGTTCAATTTGAAATGAGGAGAGCTGTTAAAGTGATTTTTAATTTTTTTAGACAAAATGTTTGATAGTAAATGTCGCCAGTAATTGAGAAAAATGCTTTTGGAAAAAAATTAATAGTGTTTAACAAACAAATATTTCTTTGTGTAATATAAAAAATAAAAAGTAGTTTAAAACACATTTATCAACTGTTAGTTTTAAATTATTTAACTTAAGTATTAAAAATCCATATTTCAATTTTTTAAGTGAAAAGTTGGTTGGTTTAATATACTCCCTAAATTGTGGGTGCCTCAATTTAATTTTTCAAGTCTAAAGTAATGATGTCATTTGGAGTATGGAAGTACACTGGCATGCTATACCGAAACTATGCTATACAAATTGAGAATATCAACGGGAATATGATAAAGTAAGACATGAATGGTTAAAAAGGCAATACCAAGTTAAATAATAAAGAACTTTAGGACAAATAACGAATTATAAAAAATCTTTTGAAAGAGAGGGAGTGGTGTAATACTAAACTAGACGTTAGAAGAGAATTAGAGTTTATTTGGTAAGAGTTTTTTCCACTTTTAGTCCTCCGACTATTATGTCATTGATACTTTTGGTACTTGACTTTGATTTTTTCCATTTTTAGTCCTTGACTATTGCGGTAGAGACACTTTTGGTTCCCGTCTTTGAAAATTTCCATATTTACTCCTTCAAATTTCATAAAAGTGACACTTTTGGTCCTTCAACTATTATAATAGTGACATTTTTAGTCCTCCGCTTATTGTGTCAAAATCATAATAAGAGGACTAAAAGTGTCGATTTGACTATACTCACGGACTAAATGTGGGAAATCTTGAAGTCGGGGACTAAAAGTGTCTCTAGCACAATAATCGAGCACTAAAAAAGAAAAATTAGAAGTCGAGTACCAAAAGTGTCATTGACATAATAGTCGGGGACCAAAAATGGAAAAAACTCATTTAGTAATAATGTAACACTAACCGTTCATTTGGTAATTTTTATTTACAGTTTATTCATCTTATTTGTAAATGTTACGGAACACATGATCTTTTATTTCACACGCCGATTATGTAATGATCAAAATAAATATAGTTGATGTTACTTTTTTATTGAATTAACCGATGTTACTGTAATAGATCACTTTAGCTATTTTTCGTATGATTTTTCTTTATTTTATTAACAAAATATATTTGAAACAATTTTCTTCTTCATATTTCAGTTGATTCATCCAATTTAGGGGTGTTTGAAATTGATTTTGCTTCTTATTTTTTAATAACAAACGTAGAATTAGGATCAGTTTTCCAGAAACCGGTCTCATCCAGCTTCTAAAAAACTGCTTCTAGGAGCACTTTGAGTTAGTCAAATATATGTTTCTGCTGTTTGAAAGAGGAGAAACAATTTTAGGAAATATATATCCAATCATCCAAACACCCCTCAACTTTTGTAGTCAGAATGTCACCCATTTCAACGTATTCATTTGATTTAGTCAATTTCAGTATTACTATTCAGACTCTAAAATTGATTGAATCAGCTGATTCTGCGAAATTGATGGAATTATGACCGAAGAAGCGCTGGATATGTTAAATTTACTGAATTATGAAATTTTTATATTCAAAATATATTTTATTAACTTAATATATATCAGAAAAATTGTATGAAAAATTTCTAACATAGTTCTTTATAGCGCGAAATAGAAAATCACAGCTTGATAAAAGAAATTTTTGATAAGCCGAAAATACTATTAGGAAAGGATGTTTTAAACATGTAAGATATGATGTGATAGAGTTACATTTTAGAACCTCTTTGGTTGTTCCAAAGGTGGAATCTCCCACCTCAGGAGCCCCGCACCCCGACCCGACAGGATGGTGGGGAGGTTAGTCACGGTGACTCAGTTAGCAGAATGGCAGGGTCTTATTTCAGGTTCTGTGACCTCCACCCGGTCGCTGCGTGGATTCGAACCTTGGTCCATTGTTCCAAATCTCCCACCACTCGACCAACTGAGCTACCCGTGCGGGTTAGAGAACCTCTTTGGTAATATCAAAATCGGTTGATTTGCTGAAATTTATGAAATTATGATTGAAGTGGCTGAATTGATTGATTCTGAAAAAATTATATTCAAAATATATTTTATTAAAAATATATATAGAAATTACATATTAAAATAGTCCTCCATAATAACTTCATCCTGAAAAGTAACTTCTACCTAATTTTTTCTTATTATTAAACAATTCAGCGCGCAAAATTAAAAGTTATTACGTATGCGTTTAGTATGAAGTTGGGTGATAAGGCGAAAAATTGATACAAACTCATACTCATTCTCCCAATTTGATTTGCAAAATTTCCTTTTTTGATTGTCCTAAAATGGTTTTCCACTTTCTATTTTAGGTATGTAAATAAGAATAAAGTGACAAAATTACCCTTACTTTTACTTTTTCCTCATTAACTTAAAAGCATCTACTTTTAGAAAGATGGCTAAATGTATAAAAAACAAGCATCATTTATTCACATTTCTTAATCTTTGTGAGGGTAAAAGTTTGCAATTTTGAAGTCATTTATTCGTTGACCCATATATTTAGCGCAATGGCGGCCCCTACGCCGGTAGACTTGCCCAAATCTGTCTCTCTCTCATCTCACCTTCTCTCACATCTCATTCTTTGGCATTAAAAAGAGAAGAAGCTGTGCTAAAGGCCGGGCACTACTCACAAAACACAAAGAGGCGAGGGAAGAGTATATATATTTAAACAGATATAAATATACACATACGGGGGCAGGGCCATGGAAGAAGAGAAGGTGTGGGAAAACATGAAGTTTATAGGCATCAGTTTGGCTTTGTGTGTGTTGGTGGTTAGGGGCATAAATTGGCTGTGGTGGAGGCCAAGGAAGATGGAAGAGCACTTCGCCAAACAGGGAATAAGAGGCCCTCCCTATCGCTTCCTCATCGGCAATGCCAAGGAGATTGTGAGCCTCATGGTCAAAGCTTCTTCTCACCATATGACAAACTGCCACAACATTCTCCCCAGAGTCCTCCCCTTCTACCACCACTGGAAGAAAATCTATGGTAATGGAACCATCTAACTACCTAGCTCACAGCTACATCTTAATTTATGTTCAATGTAGTTCTTTAATACTGATTTCTTCATTTTTTTTATTTGGAAAAAAAAAAAACTGGTTTAATTTGCATCATGGCTGGGATTGGAGGGACAAAGCTAGGTTGTGAAATAACATTGTTGGTCTGGTCTTGTCACAAAAACCAATCAAAGATGGATATATGTTTGTTTTGGATGGGGTGCGTTTGGAGTTTTCTTAGTAAACAATAGCATCATTACTCGTCTTGTCACCTGTCATCTTTTATCTAGACAAAACTAACAAGTTTGATCCATCGGGCCTCAAAGGTTTGGCCTTTTTGTGTTAGCACTTTTTGATTTTTTGTTTTCTTGGATTTTGGGATTGGAAATGGGGGAGAATCTCTTGGATGATGCTTAGCCACTTTATGTACGACGTAGCATCTTCTTTATGCTTGAAGATTCTCTTCTTACAATTAAAAGTTCGTCCATTTCCCCAACGCCTTCTTTCACCAGCACTTCAGTACGTCTGTATCTATCCCAGGCCAGGCCAGGCCAGCTTTTCTCTTTAATGGTTAGCTACCTAGCTAGCTAGCTAGCTCTTCCACATTCTTAGCTAAGCTGCCTAGCTAGCTTATCCTATTTTCGTGATCAGGCCAGCTAATTAATTAATTGACATTTTCTTTTTTGCTTTTTTTTTTGTGTCATTTGAAAAGGAATGGAAAGGAAAAGAAAAGAAAGTGTCTTAAATTGGCCTGGGGTAGGCTTTGGTATTAAAGCGGTCTGAGAACATGGCGACAACATTTGTTTGTGGTCCTGAAACTGTAACAATGGTAGTTTCTGAGGGGGATCGTTTTTTTTTATCTTTGTGATCTGATTGTGTGTTGGGTAGGGGCATAGTTAACTTTCCTTGTGTTTGACACCCAGCCCCACAACTGCAGGCAAGGGTCCTACGCTATCCATCATTCTCTTCCTTCGATCTCCTAATTAAATTAAATTACAGAATCCGTATCTTTGGCAAACTTGGATAACGATAAAAATAGGTGGACCGAATTATACATAAAAAGGGTCATCGATCATATCGGTGAACTGAAATCAATCAAGTATTAATTACTTATGTGTTAAAATGAAAAATGTATGACGTACAGGTGCGACGTTTCTGGTGTGGTTCGGACCGACGGCGCGTTTGGCTGTAGCCGATCCAGACCTGATAAGAGAGATATTCACATCGAAAGCGGAATTTTACGAGAAAAATCAAGCGCACCCTTTGATCAGACAACTTGAAGGAGATGGGCTTCTGAGCCTGAAAGGTGAAAAATGGGCACATCACCGCAAAATCATTACCCCCACTTTCCACATGGAAAACCTCAAAGTAAGTAGCGTGATTTAATTTCCTGATTTTTAGCGGAATATACTGTAGGGGGCCGGATTAATGTTGACGTATATATTTTGTATTTTGTGAATAAAAATAAAAAAAAAATCAGCTGCTAATACCGGTGGCAGCCAGTAAAGTGATTGAAATGTTGGAGAAATGGGAGGGCATGTCATGTGGGAGCGGAGACGTGGAAATTGAAGTGTCAGAATGGTTCGAAATCTTGACCGAAGACATTGTGGCACAAACTGCCTTCGGCCATAGCTACCACGATGGCAAAGCCATTTTTCGGCTTCAAGCTCAACAAATGCTTCTCGCCAACGAGGCCTTCCAAAAGATTTTCATCCCTGGCTATAGGTACGTTCGTTCGTACTTCAATTTCTGTTTTTTTTTTGTCTAGCTTGGAATTGTATGTACATATAGTGAGTGGTTAATTTTGATGATAAATCACCAAATTCTTTCACTGAATGGGTCAATGTGGCATGTTGTACTGCTTTTTAGTTGTAACACTTTTCAAGTTGGGGGAGTTTTTTTCAAACTTACTCCGCATCATGTACTTCAGTAAATGACAACCAGGTGGCATTATATTAAATTCAATTCCCTAAGACCGTAGCACAATATTTTATTATTATTATTGTTATTTACTATAGGTGAATAATATAACCGAATTGAAATGATCGAGGGCATGTGTGATGATGTATCACACTCAATTGTTTGGAGAGTTTCAAACAAAACGTACCTCTTTTTTACTACACACCCTAATGTGAGGCAATTTATTTAAGTGAGACACTACTTAAATGAATTGTCTCATTTATGGCCACACATTTAGGGATGAGGGTAAAAATCAGATACATTTTGGGGAGCTTTAACATTTGTGATTGTTCGAATGGTGGAATGAACGCTGTAGGTTTAACTCCACAATAAATAGGAGTAAAAAAGTTTGAAAACTTCAAAATAGGATTGGAATGTTTTTATTCTTAAAATAAAAGTAATTATTATCAAATTTGAAAAATACTGTCATGTTTGAAGTCTTGTACTACCAAAAAATAGGAATACTTAATTTTATTTTGGAAATAAAAACATGATAAATCTATGTTGGAATATGCAAACGTTTTTTGTCAAACAAATGTAATGAAACTTGACTTTCTTTCCAAAACGCTACTAATAAGAAGTAAATGCAAGAAAAATAATGTTTTTATTCTAAACTAATGTTTTTAGAACTACTCTTATTTAGGATTACAAAAATATAGTGATCATATTTTGAAGTTTACTCTTCTTTATTCTTAAAATATTAAAGCAAAAATGTGTATGACTTTGATTACAAATTAGTTCATATACGAAGTAAATCCGGTCCTGGTTTTTTTTATGTGATCTTTATTTATTTCTTTATTTAATTTTGGGGGTGATCAGATTTCTGCCCACAAGAAGGAACATAAGATCTTGGAAATTGGAGAAGGAGATAAAGAGATCATTAATGAAGGTTATTGAAGAACGGAGAGGGGAGTCGGGAAATGAGGTGCTTGAGAATGGGCCCAAGGATCTACTGAGCCTGATGATCCAAGCCAGCGTGAGAGAGGCCGCGGCGGCTGCGAGCCACGCCCCGGCGGCGTCGATGATCACGGCCAACGACATCGCGGAGGAATGCAAGACGTTTTTCTTCGCGGGAGAGCAGACCACGTCCAACCTGCTGACGTGGACGACCGTCTTGCTGGCTATGCACCCACATTGGCAAGACCAAGCACGTGAGGAGGTGTTCAAGGTGTGCGGGCCACGTGACATACCATCCAAAGATGATATCGTCAAGCTTAAGACGGTAGGGCCCTCTCATTTAATTACTCCCTATATATATATAATATCATCATTTAATTTATTTATTGTTATGGGAGTGGTGGTGGCGATGATGATGGTGAAGACAAATACAAGAAATCGTGTTTTTGTCTTCTCTCTGACGCTTAAGCATTAATTAATCACCCCACCCTACCCCTGAATAGTACTTCCTTGACAATTACATTACATACACCCCGGATTTTTGGATTGAATATCCTTCCATTTTCGTTTAACCCCGTGAAATTAAATTACGTACGTCTTATTCCTTTCATTCGTCGCCAAACAAATTAAACTTCTCTTTTTAATCTTTTTTTTACTAGAATAAAATATTGCCACTTATCATTTCATTTACGTACCCTTATACAAATTCAAACTTTTTCCTTTCAAATCAGCAAGAACTATGTTTTCAACGTAAACGTACTCATGTTTTTGGTTGTTTAAATTATCTTAGGTTGTTGAAGGAAAGTGGGAACATTAATTATTGTAATGAACGAATAAATAATAATAACAACGATAATAACAACAATAATATTGGGTAATTAGTATAATGTGCTTAAGATGGATATTAATTTGGGGTGGGCAGATATACATACATACATATATATACACTACCTCCGTCCCGTAAAGAAGTTCCCACTTTTCTTTTATGGATGTCCCAAAAAGAAATTCTCATTTCTATAAAAAAAATCACTTTTAACCAAAAAGTCACAAATACCCTTACTTTTTACCCATTTTTTGTTTGATTTGACCTAAAGTAAGGGTATACTTGGAAAGTCAAAACAAAACTCTACCTTACATAAATATGTGTAGGTCAAATTAGAAACTTCTTTGCGGGACGGAGGGAGTATATATAAAACAAAACAAATACTCCCTCCATCCTGAAAGAATTGTCCTATTTTGACCTTCACATAGATTAAGAAAATGAAGTTGATTTCTCACTTTAGCGACACTGTTTAGCACTGTAGCGACACTGTTTGACACTGTTTTGTATAAATTTATTTACCAAATAAGAAAAGTTTCAAAGTAAGACATTTATTTTGGGATATCGATTTTGGGAAAGCAGGACATTTATTTCGTGACGGAAGGAGTACTATATATCGTCCGTTTCTTCTTAGTTGTAACTTGTAATATGGAATTTTTTTTAAATTTACATGCATAATCTATCTAGTACAGAATTTTATATATATATATATATATATATATATATATATATATATATATATATATATATATATATATATATATATATATATATATATATATATATATATATATATATATATATATATATAATGATGGTAAAAATGCATGGCATGCAGTTAAGCATGATCTTGAATGAGTCGTTGCGGCTGTACCCTCCGATCGTGGCGACAATCAGACGGGCAAAAGGTGACGTGGAGCTGGGAGGATGCAAGATCCCGTGCGGGACAGAGGTGCTGATCCCAATCCTGGCGGTGCATCACGAGCAGAGCATATGGGGAAGCGACGCGAACGAGTTCAAGCCGAGCCGGTTCTCGGAGGGGGTGGCGCGAGCGGCGAAGCACCCGGCGGCCTACATCCCGTTCGGGGTGGGAGTTCGGCAGTGCATCGGGCAGAACCTGGCGGTGCTCCAGACCAAACTCACGCTGGCCATCATGCTCCACCGCTTCTCCTTCCGCTTGTCCCCGCGCTATAGACATGCTCCCACCGTGTTGATGCTTCTGCACCCCCAGTTTGGCGCTCCCATCATTTTTACACGTTTACCGCCCCTTCAACAACCCACACATCATTAACACCCGGCCCGGCCGGATCCATTTTCCGCATCCAGGTAATTAATTAGCCTATCCAAGCTAGCTAGGATCTTTTTTCCTTTTCCTTGCTTCGATCTATAGTTCTATTTATTTGGTGATCCGATCTACTAATTCCCCATCCCATCCGGCCCCCTGTGTATGTAAAGCTAGCTAGCCTAGATATGTGCAGTAAATTATGAAGTATATTAATTGTAACCCGGCCCAGTTTTGCTATATTCATCCACCAGATGACTTTCTTTTACCTACTTACTCATCCATTCATTCCTCGACTCATGTAACTCCATCACATTATATTATTATTATTATTATTATTATTATTATTATTATTATTATTATTAGTAGCAGCAGCACCAGCAGCAGCTAGCTAGCAGGTAGGTATATATATAGGTCAATTCAATTCATGGTCATGGACATGGATTTTACAATTTCAAGACATTTGTGTTAGTTTCTACGTACTCATGCAATCCAGAGTTACGTTATGTGCATAATTAAATTTCATCTTATTTAATTTTCATAACATTATTCTTATAAGTACGCGTGTCTTCTTGTTTTCCAGTTAATTGTTATATATGATGGATTCCAGCTTAGCTTTTCAATGGATAATTTTGACTAAAGCATTGACAAAATGCTGAAATAATACCATCATTGCTTCGTTCCTAAAATAAAACTCATGGACTCCTAATCCGTGAAGTTTAATAGGATCAATTATGCACTTCAATGAACTTTAATTTTAGTCCTATTTATAGTCATAACTATAATTTCTATGGACTCTCATCAAAACTCCTCCACTTCTTTGGCATTCCTGGTCAAATGTTTTGTTTTCTTAACTCATAATAGTCGATAAAAAAATAAATTGTTCAAAATAGAGGTAAAACATGACTAAAGTTTAATGTTAGAACTAAATATGTTGTACGCTGCTGTTAGTTATCCATATGTAATCTAATTTATGGGTAGACTTTGGTTAGGTCCTCCTATATCTTTGGTTTCTTGCCTCTACCTCAAAAAACCTTAAGTGATTCTTTGGACTACCACCGGGTTCAAATAATATAAAAAAGAACTAAATATGTTGTATTTGCAAAATGTGTTATCCATTCTTGATCACATAAATTAATAGAATAAAACAATCAAAACTTCCCAAAATAGGGGTGTGTCAGTGTGTGAGTCCTCTTTTGGAAAGCAAGTAACATTGATCTTATTTGAAGAAATCAGTTATGTTTAAAAATGTTTTCACTTAAATTTTCTTTTGGTATCGGGGTCTGCTACGTGTCAACGACATGTGTACGTACTTCACTATTGCCTAGGTTTTATATGGTCTAATGACTCAAATCTGGTCAAGTGTAGTCTATTGATTTGACGTAGTGTTGTTTGGGGACTCAAGACAGTATATCATGGCGTAGAAGAAGTGTCACAACATTAAGCCTCCTAATTTAGAAGAGCCAAAATTTTAAAATAGTCTCTATAAAACAGAGGTTTAATGCGCCAAACTCCCTCATGATATGATATACAAATTAAACGCATTAACTACTCTGATTTAAATGATGCGTCAAATCCCCGTGTTATAATTATTAATGTGCAAAATTCCCTTCAAAAACAAATTTTACAATTATGAAATCACTAGTCTTAATAATATGATTGACTGTGCAAGTAACTTTGTCAAGATAATGAGCAACCCCTACGTGAGCTCTGTTAGTATACATATGTCCTAGCGACAATCACTTTTTAGAGATATATGTACTTGATCACATTCAGTTTTATATATTTGATATATACGATATTACACATTGATGATTAAGTATTTCGATTGTCAATATCTTATTCATAATTGTGTTCCCTTAGACTTATGTTATCAATAAGTAAGTGGAAGCTTATATGATATAACATAAAGTCCTAAAATAGCTCCAATCAATGATCATCAAGAATGGGATATTGATGATATGCGATAAGATTGGTATGTGGACTGCATCATACTTTTAGAAAGTATAGTTGATCTCACAACTATGAGTTCATGTAATTCATGATGGTCACATAGATATTTTAGAAAATATTGGCATACCTACCGAGAAACCATTTGATAAGTTCTATTCATGTGTCTATGGGATTATCGGCATATAGAGTAGTGTAATAGTCATTCGACTTGAGGTCAATACGTACTACATGTGCGGAGTGATGTACTTTGACCATGACCAACGTTTGCACTCCAATCGGGGTAGATACGGCATGTGTTGGGTGCATCACGAAACACATGGAGTAATAGTTGAGCCAAGAAAGGATTCATTCCTCGTAATAGATTAAGAGAGAACATTCTACTTCTCATATCTAGATGGATCCTAAAGTCACTGGTAAATGCAAAGATATATTCGTTTTGGATAACGAATATGATCGTTATGGATCATCTAGAAAGTTTGAGAGACAGAAACTAAGTTATTGGAATAGACACAATATCATGTTTTAGACTTAGTTGAATGTTCGTTGAATGAAATGACCTTATCACTATGAGCTCTATATTACAAGGAGTTTGAATAGTCCTCGCAAACGTCCTTATATATTAAGTTTGTCTCGTAAATCGTCTAGGGATTCTACTTAGATCTTAATTTGATTAATGCTTCATATATAAAGCCCTATGGGTCACACAACAAGTGATTATACCTTCCGATTGAATTGTTAGAAGGAATTAAATATTATTAATTGGATTAAATAATATTTAATTAGTAATACTGAAAATGGATTAAATATTGATTAGATTACACATATTTAATTCATGAAGTTGAAGGAGAGTTCTATTTGATAGAATTAGTTAAGTGGAATAAATTAGATTTATTGTACTTAATTAAGATGTATTTATTATTAAATAAAGTTGTTATTTACTTTTATGATTTGGAACTAAAAGGAAAAGAAAAGAAAATAAATAATAATATAGATATAATAAATAGAGAGTGGCGTGCAGCCACTTATTTATTGTTATTATTATTATTAATTATTTTGTTTTATTCAACTATTTAATTAATAATGAGTTTTGATCCTAATAGGATTAAAACTCATTAATGAAGAACATTTTCATTGTGATTGGGAGACTAGTTTAGAACTAGTATAAATACATCCTTTTCTTTCATAATTGATAGACCAATTTTCAGATTCAGTATTACCAGTTTATTTCCCTACAAAGAGATTTCCTAGTCTTTCCCTTAGGGAGATGTAACCGTTCTTTTGGAAAGGAGAAATCATGTGGATACCAAAGGTCAAAGAATATCACCGCTAGCCTGGAAGATCTGTAAGTTCTAACTCCGATCTGTTATTATTATCATATTCGTTATTTTGTCATAATCAGGGAAGATCTGTTTGGGAAAATTTTAAACTTTCGCTGCTGTACTTTCGAGGTACGTTACATCAATTTCCTAACAGTGGTATCAGAGCTAAACTGATTCTAATGACATTATATTGATAGATTTATTCGTAGATAAAATTATGCATTTTCATGAATAGCATTTTTTTGCCATAATTTGATTTCCGAAATCAAACTTTATGAACAAGGTATGATGAACAAATCTAAGAATTTAGTTTTAGACATTAAAATCTGGATTTCGTATAAACTGGACGATCTCCTCTTAGCGTTTTGGACGATCCACCATGGCGGCGGATCATCAATCGTCTTTGTTTATTTCATTTTATTTTCCTGCAAAACTTGACCGCCATTAATGGCAATTGAGCTGCGAAAATCTGAAACCCGGCCTGAAAGATCATTCATGGCGGACTAGCGACGCCGGATTGCAGCGAACTACGACGGAAGCAACCCTGATGAACGATGATTGCATCATGAAATAAAGTTGTACCAGAATCTCTGGAACGTGTTCTGCGATCTTCTTCCCCTGCTATTTTCAGTTTTTAGGACTTGGGGTCGTTTAGGAAATTCTAGTATTATTTGGTTGATTTCAAAATTTTGGAAATTTATAAAAAAGGCACCGAATTGTTGGAGACTTGGAGACCTATGAGAATCCAACTTGGAATTGTGTTTTCGTCCTTGCGTTCTTTTTGGTGAAGATTAGGACACTTTGTAGTTTAATAGATAGTATAAGTTGGAGTCTTGTAGTCTTAGAACATTACGTAAGGAAGATTTTAGTAAAATTAAGCCTTTTAATTAGATGAAAAAGGTAGCTTAATTTCATAATTGATTTGATTGATAATTATGTTATTAACATACATTTGAAGTATGTTTAATTGGTTATTTGATAATTGTATCTGTGTATAAATTAGATTTATATTGCATTCTTTAAATTATCTGTCTGAGTTAGATCTCATCAACATATTATTTGATAATATGTTTTAGCATCTTGATTAAGTAATTTAATACCCCTAAACGTTCCCCATAAATTATAATTTAAGTCTTATCTGGGATAACGACATCACCCATCATAATTAAATTAGTAGAAATATTTTTTCGTTGACGAGTATTTCACCAAAGTGTTTATTCCATTCGACAAAATATAGAACTAATTTATAGATACATATGTTTGTGATCGTGTGATGGTTTTGACTTACTAAAATTAGCTCGAGTCGCCCAAGCGTCAGTGTTAATTTAGGGATGTCGATCAATTTAAAAATTGATCAATCAAGAGTTGTTTGGACACAATTGGTCTAGGGACCTACCCATTATATTATTACAGTGATCAGCCCAAGTTGGGACTGTAATAGTATGAATGTGGATCTTGGCCACAATGATTGTGAAAATAATCCATGTTCTTTTTATTGGGGTCAAAGAGCATGCAAAATAGTGGGAGCTAAATAATTAAAAGTCCATATTATTTAGTTAACTAGATGTGATCATAGGAATTAATATATGATTTTAATTCCGTTTTATTTGATCTTCTTTAGGCTTTTAGGAATGTCGAATTTATCATTGAGAAGTATCTTGGATACATGCAAGCTAACTGGACCAAACTTTCTGAACTGGGAAAGAAATATGCGTTTCGTTCTTAGACAAGAAAATGTTGAGTATGTGTTTGACACACGGGTACCCAAGATTCCTAATGCCAACTCTCCTGAGTTTGCCACGTTTGACCTGACTGCTCGAGAGAAACACGTCACTGATGCTAAAACTGTGCAATGTGTTATGTTGGCTGCAATGTCTATGGAGTTGCAAAGGCAACACGATAGGATGAGCGCATTCGAGATGCTTGAACACTTGAAAAGTCTGTTTGATCCAGAAAGTCAGACTCTAGAGTATGAACTTCTGGCAGACATTTTCAAGTGTAGGCTTCATGAGGGTGGCAACGTGATTGGCTTAATTGAAAGAGTTGCTACCACCAGAATTAAGTTTGAGGATCGTGTCTCAGCTGCTATCATCCTATATTCGCTTCCGAGTTCATTCACTAACTTCATTGTGAATTATAATTTGAACAAAACGAAAGCGACCATGTCTGAACTCCATAACATGCTCAGGTCTTATGAAGCCTCAACCTCTAAAGGAAAGACTATTCTTATGGTAAGCTCTAATGCTAACTCTCGTTCTAAGAACAAGAATAAGCAAAAGAAGAAAGGTAAGATTGGACCTACTCCTACAGCTCTGAAGCCTAAAGGTGGAGGTCATATGAAGCCAAAGGTTGCAAAGGATGTTTTCCTCTACTGCAAAGAGAAAGGGCATTGGAAGAGAGATTGTGAGCTGTATAAGGCTAATCTAGCCAAAGCACCGGGTGCTTCAAGCTCAGGTATTTTTATCATTAAATAAATATGTCTATAACTAACTCTCATTGTTAACGTATTAGATACAACTTATGGCTTACACATTTGTAAAAATGTGCAGAAGCCTGAGAAGGAGTGTAGCAGTTGGACTGGGTAAATTTTACCTACGCGTGAAGGCTGGAGCAAAAGTTGCTGCTAAACGTGATAGGATCTTATAGTTTAGATTCGCCCAGTGGTTTTAGATTAGAATTAAATAATTGTTATTTTATTCCTTCTATTACCAAGAAGATTATTTCCATTCAAATGTTAGACATTAAAAGATTTCTGTTTCCATTTTGATAATAATAATTGTTATTTTCGTAAAATGGTGTTGTTGTGGAAATGCTTTTCTTATGAATGGTTAATTATCAATCGACATATTAGATATTAAATGAATAAAATAAAAGGATCTCGATTAAGTAATCAGAAAAATTACTACCTATCTATGACATTGCAAACTTGGTCAAATTAATGAAACAAGAATAGCAACGTTAAATAAATTAGATTATTTAACACCATTTACTTTTGAGTCATATAGAAATTGTGAATCTTGTCTTTCAAGTAACTTGACTAATAAACCTTTTCTAGGAAAAAGGATAGCATTCCAAAGAGTACTTAAGTAAAATTTCTGATTTATTTAAAAGGTCAAAGAATTCGGTCATAATGAACTCCTCCAGAACACCTTAGAAGTCTGGCGTTTCTGCAAGGAGAAATAGGGCTTTGTTGGACATGGCTAGATCTATGATGAATTCATTTTCTCTTCCAAACATTCTTTTGAGGGTACACACTATAAATCTCAATATGCATTCTGAATAGTTTGACTAGTGCAAAACGTACTATATGAGTTATAGTATAATAAAAGACATTTTCTTCACATATTAAATATGGGTTGCCCTGCATATGTAAAGAAATGTGCACTAATCAAATTGAAAGGTGAAGTAACATAGAAAACGAAGATTCGTTAGATGATCTGACGAAGGATTCAGTGGGAGAATTAAGTTGAAGAATGTCTCTAGGAGGATATCCTTCACCTAGTGGGAGTAATATAGGAAGCGCTTCGCACCATCAAGTGATTCTTATGAAGAAAGTAATGGCATGGTTGTCATTCCTTCTGCACCTAACTCTCCCTCTATGAGTATAACACCAGAAAACTCTCTGAGCATTGGATAGTCCAATAAAAGAGAACCTCTTCACGATCAGAATGAAGAGCGTGAACAAAATGCAAAACATTCAATTCTGTGGGTCTACTAGGATTCATCATGAACTAACTAGGTTTGACTTCCTCATGGAGGATCATGATGATGTTAACATTCCTGATACGGATGACCTTGAGACCTACATAGAAGCAATATTAGATGTTGATCCATAGAGGTGACGAGAAGCCATAAAATCTAAAATGGACTCGATGTGTGTCAATCAAGTATGGAACTTGGTTGACTTGCCTATTGGGGTTGGACCCATTGGATGCAAATAATTTTTAAGAAGAAAATTAATGCTGAAGGCAAGGTGCAAACATACAAAGCTAGGCTAGAGGCTAAAGGTTGTAGTCAAAGAAAAGGAATTGACTATAGTGATACCTGTTTGCCAGTTGCAAAACTGAAGTCCATTTGGATTTTGCTTGTTATAGCTGCATAATATGATTATGAGATTTGACAAATGGATGTCAAAACCCCTTTCCTTAATGGAAACCTCGAGGAGGAGGTGTACATGGTACAACCTGAAGGTTTTTTTATCCCAGTCAAATTCTAATTCAATATGTTAATTGGAGAAAACTATTTATGGGCTAAAACAAGTCTCTAGGAGTTGAAATATTAATTTTGATGAAATAGTCAAATCGTTTGACCTCATCAAATGAAATGAGTGTGGTTGCGTGTTTAGAGTGCGCAACAAGGATAGCGTGGTCTTTATAATCATATACGTTGATCATAGAGAATGATGTCTCCTCATTGAAGTCCGTGAAAGAATGGTCACCCAAAATCTTCATGAATATTTTTTGTCAATGGTAGACAGAAACAACTAGTAGAATTTAATTATTCTAGCACTAGTTTCATGTATGATAAGAAAGACTACGTGTAACACCGCCCCCAAGTATTTGTACTTTATCAAATTATGTATTGAACCCTGAGAAATGTATAAAAGCATTTTTACGTGATTGTAAATTTTTATCATTTCTTTTACGTGAATAGTAAAATTCACGAGGGGCCCACACCGAAAGTGGGGGCCGCCCGGTACTGTCGGGACCACATATTATATTAATCTTGGCCTAGATAATATGTATATGGTGGTTGATATCAAAATTGGGCCATGACAATGGCATAGGGTTGACCAGTTGGTCAAACGGGGCCCAAGTATTAGTATCGGCAATTTATCAGATAACAGCCCGAAAAGAGATTTCGGAGACTTCTAACTTAAACTTGAGGAATATACATTCATTATAAAGTCCAAAAAAGGATTCGGAACATGCGTTATATTTTATTTGACCAGATAAAATAAAATGTAATTTAAAACGGTTCGGAAAATACAACTTTCAGGACCGATTGTACACTCGGGGACACAAAGGGTTGACCTCCCACATGAGTGGGGGCCAACCCACGTCCTTGGTCTGGAAAATATAAAGGGGAGCCGCACATTGGCATGAGGAAAGATGGGAGAAAGTGTAGAGGCCAAATGTGATAAGAAAGGGTGGTCCCTCTCCCATATTATTGATGAATAAGCCAAAATGGCTATTCTCAATCACCCCAACTCCTATAGCTCGGCCAACCTACTCAAAGAAGAGAGATAAGGTCTTCAAAACTCCATTGTTACCATCCATACACGCACCAAGGACAAGGGAGGAAGAAGGAAGGAAAAAGAGAAGAGAAAAGGGGAAGTTAGGAAGGAAAACTGGAGATTTACAAGGTAACGACTCCATTAATCCCATTCCTTGTTCTTCAATAATTTTATATGATTATTCAGTCATATTTCACACCCGAGGATTGTTCTACATGTTTAGAAGTGTAGAATGAGGGGTTGCAAGGTAGTTCTAAGTCCAAGAACGGACTTAGAAGCCAAACTGACCGGTTCGCCGGAAAATAACCTTTTTAAGGTTATTTGTATTAATATGGGTTTTATGGTGATAAAACCTTGTTAGTAACTTGTCTAAGGTATTCAAGGAACTTTCACGGAGTTGAAAGGGTCGCCGGAATTGTCGCCGGAGTTCGTTGAAGTTCCCCGGAGTTTCACCGGAGCTCAATAAGGGAGGCTAGAACTTCATAAGCTTCATTTAAGGTGAGAAGACGGCTTTATGCTTTATAACTTTTGCGTGAGGCATGAGATTACCTAAAGTAATCAAGGATATGTTTTATGGAATGATTAAAGATAACCAAGTGTTTGCTTATGCCATGATTATACATAAAACATAGTTGAAAAGTATGTTATGTAGGTTTGATGATTAAAAGTGTGATAACTTATTATGTATGATGTTCCAGGGATCCAAAATGGTATTTTTGGATCAAGGACGTCAAGAATTACATTTGTATAAAATTTCACGTTAATCGGACTTCGTTTTGGCGGTCAAACGGGCGTTGACCGCCAAGACAAACGTGATACCCGACCGGGTATGGGTAAATACCCGACCGGGTTTTGATTAAAAATGGCTCCAGAAGCCACTGCCACACTATACCCGACCGGGTATGGGTATAGACCCGACCGGGTCTCAAGTAAAGTTGGCTGCAGGGGCTACTACCTCACCCTACCCGACCGGGTAAGGTTGGATACCCGACCGGGTATTGGGTTATGCTCAAAACAAGCAGTTTTGAGTAGGTTAACGTGGGCCGTTCAGGTGGGACCCGTCCACGTTGGTTACTAAGGATGTTTATATGACTATAGGGCTAGGTATTGTCCATAGTTAAGGGAAGAAAGGTTATCCATATCCAGGTTAGGGTTTTGTAAGGAATAAGGTTGGGGTTGAGCATCCCCGGGACGGTAAATGATCCTTAAACTCGGTTGGGGTTGAGCATCCCCGGGATGGTAAATGATCCTGAAACTCGGTTGGGGTTGAGTGCGCTTGGACGGTAAATGATCCTAAATACTCCAGGTTGGGTTGAGTTCCTTGGACGGTAAATGATCCTAAAACACTCAGTAGTATGAATCGAAGGTAGACTATAGCTTGTGAGCTAGGCATCCGTGAAAGGAGTGAGGAAAGTCAGGAAAGAACTTTATCACTAAAAGACTCTTTAAGGTAAAAGACCTACGAGTTAAGTATTTTACACGTATATATATATAGTATGTATCATCGGTTGGATGAGTTACACCTATATATATGTATCACCCTATTTTTGGGTCTCGTGTCTGAAACATGAGTTATTCTTCATATAGCTTGCTTGTCACTAGTACTTCTTTCTGTGAAGTACTGACCCTTCCGGGGGCCCTCACTATTTTTCAGGTTAAGGCTAGAGTCCTACTACCTGCACCTTCGCCTAGGGGTGATCATCAAATAAGGAAGACTTGGTTCGTGCTTCCATTCTTATTTTCAAATATGGAATTTGCTCATGGATATTTTTAACCAATGTTTTCTATTCAAACATTTGGGGGTCTGTGTGCCCGTGTTTGTCACGTGTGGCTAAGTATCAAACATTCTACTTCCGCATTTGTTTGATTATGATATCGATGTTGATTGTATGTGTTTACTAATCGGTTTGGCAATAGAATCTATCGGACGCCTTGTATGATTCGATAAGGATGAACTAATGTTGTCCTTATCGGGTTGTACGGCGGTTGTCTACGTGGCTCGGATGCGGTCCGGGGCGTGACACCACGAGTCACAGTCAATATATGTTTTTAGTCTCAATGTAATAGTAATGCTGCAAGAGTTGCAAGTAAGAAACTATTGTAATTTTGACAACTAGAGCCTAGTAAATTGTTGCATTTGATGCAACATAGGTAAGCGTTTAGATACGTTAGTTCCTTAAAGAAATAGGGGTAGTTCCTAGCGACAGTTATCCAATAATTTTTATTGTGACTGTACCGGTGCATTTACACAAGCTAAGGAACCAAGATGCAAAGTAAGGAACTAGAATATACCAGTATGCTATCATGTTTTGATAACAAATAGCAAAATTAGAAGTTGCAATAGAATGCCTTCCCGTAGAGGACAATTTGGCAGACTCATTCACCAAACCTTTGAGATGCGGGAAACATTGTAGGCTTTTGAGAGTCTAGGTGTTAGACGCATCGGTGATTGGCACTAGGCCAAGTGGGAGATTGTTAGTATATGTGTCCTAGCGACAATCAGTTTTTAGAAATATATGTACTTGTCATATTCAGTTTTATATATTTGATATATACG